ATATAGTGGTGGATATTTCATCTGGGCCATAGAAAGGCCCGGAGTCGACTGATTGGTCAAAAGAAGCCCAAATTACCGGTACTGGTAATTCAACAGATAACAGCCCGAACTGAATTTCGGAGGCTTATAAATTAAAGTTGGGAAATGTATATTCATTATACATGTCATAATGAGTAAGAGCTCATGAGATATTTTATTTGACCCGATAAAATAAAATATATTTAAAACAGTCCGAAAAATACAACTTTCGGGACCGAATGTACATTTCGGGACAAGTTGGGATGACCTCCCACATGAGTGGGGGACACCCCACGTTTTTTTTGTGCTAGAATAGACAAGGGGAGCTGGTTTTGACAAAGGAAGGTGTGGAGGAGGAGGCTTTGGCATCAAAGTACATAGATGACCCCTCACCCATCACACATTTTGTCATTTGAGACAAAATAAACCACTCCCTCTCACCTCAATCATCCAACTCGTCCAGCCCTATTATTTGGAGAAGAAGAACTCTCAAAATACTCTTTCTCCATAGCTGAACTCGAGCTCAAGGAAGGAGGTCCAAAGAGAAGTGTTTGAAGAAGGAAAAAGGGCTAGAAAAAGGGTGAAAATTAAGGTAATGACCTTATTATAACTTTTCCTTTATTTTTCTTCTACCATATAAGATATATATCATGTGAAGGATCCTTAAGAGGGTTCTACATGTTATAAGTATAGATTTATGGGTTGGAGAGTGATTCTATGTCCAAGAACGGACTTAGAAGCCAAAACGACCGGTTCACCGGAAAATAACCTTTTATAGGTTATTTGTATTGATTAAGGTTTTATGATGTTAAAACCTTGTTAGGCACTTGTAAAGGGTATTTCAAGTGATTTCACAAAGTTGGAAAAGTCGCCGGAATTGTCGCCGGAGTTGACCAAAAGTCGCCGGAGTTTCACCGGAGTTCAACCAAGAAGGGTAGAACTTCATAACGCTAGTTCAAGGTGAGTGGACGGCTTAATATCTTATAACTTTTGGGTCAATTATGAGATTACCTAAATAAATGTTATATGTGTGCATAATGATGTTTAAAAGATATTTAAACATGTGATTAGCCAACATAGTTAAGTGCGTATGAAAAGAAATAATTGTTTATGCATGAAATATGATATGAGAAATTATATATAATGCATATTTGCTTTAAGTGTAAAAGAAGCACAAATGGATTTTATTAACTTAATTATATGATGATTTAGTTAATAAGTGTAAGACTTGAGATGGCGGTCAACAACAACGTTGACCGACGGATAGTGGATTAATTAATATCGATTGGTATTAATTAATTATACATTTATATAAATGCATGGCTTTGCATGGAATGTGATACATAAGTTTTTATGTATTGAATTAGTTATGGATGACTAAATATGATATAGACCCTATCTAGCGTGATAAGTGGTAAGTCATAGGTCGGGTGGAGTACCCAAGGATCGGGCGGTTATCCTCAAAACTCGGTTATATAGGGTGGAGTACCCAAGGATCGGGCGGTTATCCTCAAAACTCGGTTATATAGGGTGGAGTACCCAAGGATCGGGCGGTTATCCTCAAAACTCGGTTATATAGGGTGGAGTACCCAAGGATCGGGCGGTTATCCTCAAAACTCAATTATAGGGTGGAGTACCCAAGGATCGGGCGTGTATCCTCAAAACTCATAGATTACATTTAATGATCTAGGACCGGGCGGTGTCCTTATGATAATTTATTTGAACAAGGAGGAGTTCTATACACTCATAGGTATATGGGTGGGTTGGGATTTAAGTCAAGGATATTGGCTACTATTATTTTCCCAAATAAACAATGACCTACGGGTCGGGTATTTCCAAGTGTATGTATACTAATATGTATTTCAAACTTGGGGGGAAGGACTATACGTATATGTATCACCCTATGTTTGGGTCTTATACTTGAAACGCTAGTTATTCTATATTTAGCCTGCTACTCGCTCGGTACTTGTACTGACCCCTTCGGGGGGCCCCACCATTTTCAGGTTGAAGCTAGGGCTTGCTACTTGCACCTTCTCACGGGTGGTATCATATCGGGAAGACGTGGTTCGTGCTTCCTTATTTTCTTTCAAACTACCGAACACTTGCTCATGGATATTTGTTTTACTATAAACTATTTTTGGGGCTTGCATGCCCATGTTGTTGGCCGGTTGTGGCTCATGACTTACCGTTGAATATTTCCGCTATTCATTGGTTTAAATGTGATGTTGTTATATATGTTTACTACTGAGTATGGATGGATTGTTTTCTAGGACGCCTTGTGTAATTAAGTGAGGTTGACTCGTGGGTGACGTCACTTGATTATACGGCGGTTGTACACGCGCTTGGATTGCGGTCTGGGGCGTGACAATTAAGTGGTATCAGAGCCATCTCAGTTCTAAACTATATAATCAACCTCTCACAAAAGATTTTACAGAAGAGTTTTTACTGAAAACCATGAGCATTGTATTTTGACGTTTATAGGACTATTGGTGCTTAAGTTGCAAGGCCTCTAATTGTTAAGATGGTACCCTTAACAATTGGTATGGTGGCGACTTGGGCCAATACGTGTCTATAGCGTTCTTCCGTCATTTGACATCTATAGGAGTCTAATGACTCATCCATATTTCTTTCAGAAATGGAGGGCAGGCGAATGGCAACCAGGAACAATCCGAGAGGGCGGGCACCGGTAGCATCCCAGAGGGGAAGCCGGGCTTCATCTCGGGGATCACGAGGAGGCCGTGGAGGCCGCGGAGGTCGTGGAGGGCATCAAGCTCAAACTGTGAGTGATGGCCATGTAAGCTCGGTGTACGAAACCAACACCGAGGACTATGACTCTACGTATGTTCCTGAGACAGAGCATGAGGAGACCCCATATGATGGGGGTGACACATACACCGATGAGGACAATGATGAGAGTGATGCCCGCTTCGCCCAAATGGGCGAATTACTAGAGTGGTATCAAAAGGAGAAACTGAGGAGAGACCTTAGGCGCCAAGCGAGGCGTGGCTCTCGTGGAGGTTCGGGTCAAGGAAGCCGGGGAGCTTCCGTGGCCACCCCAGCGGCGTCACAAGGTGGGCGTGAAGGAGGTTTTGTTGTGAGAATCTCCAAGTACCTCAAGGAGGCTAGGGCCTTGGGGTGTAGGTCCTTTGACGGCACCGGTGACATTACCGTTGCCGCCGATTGGATTAAGAAGGTGAAGGATGCGTCAAGAGACATGCAAATCACACCGGACGTGAAGTTGACTGTCGCTTCACGGCTATTTGAAGGGATAGCTTCTACGTGGTGGGAGAGCGTGGAAGGGAAGTACCAAGGGGAAATATCATGGGCGGATTTTGAGCTAGAGTTCTATGCTCAATACTACTCCGAGTACGAAGTGAATGTGAAGCGGAGGGAGTACACTAACCTCAAGCAGAAAGATGGTGGCACAGTGAAACAATTGGAACAAGACTTTAGAACCTTGGCCAGGTTCTTGCCGGAGTACGCGGTTGATGAGAACCGCATGACGGAGCACTTTTGGGATGCCTTACTCTTAGACATCCGTGATCGGGCCACGTACTCGCGCCACATGACCTTTAGCGAGGTGGTGGAGCAGGGCCTTCTTGGGGAGGCCCAATGGAATGAAAGAAAAGGGAGAGACGCCGAAGAGGCGAAAAAGAGGAAATGGCATGGTTCGGGGCCGCTCGAGCAAGCACGGAAGGATAAGCACGGCGGAGGTGGTGGTTCGTTCAAATCACCGGCACCACCGACAAAGAAGAACAGGGATGCTCGGTGGCATGCATCCTCCTCCCAAAGGACGGGGCCTCCAAAGTGTGCCAATTGTTCGAAAAATCATTTTGGGAAGTGCAATGCACCCCCGAGGTGTTATCAATGTGGGAACACGGGCCACATGAAGGCCAATTGCCCATAACTAGGGGGAGGAGGAGCTCCGGGATCGGGAGGAGGAACCATGACGGGAAGAAACCGTGCGGGACCGTCAAACGGCGGTACGGGAAGAGGCGGCACATCCACAAGTCATCCTGCATCCGTAAATCAAGGCGGGACCCAAGCACGAGTGTACGCGATGACCGAGGCGGATGCGCGAGCAAACCCAGACTCCGTTGCAGGTAATACACTCATTTCCATGTATTTCTAGGCTTATTTTGATCATATACACCGTTGGGGGTTGAGTTCGGGCCACCCCGGGATCAAACGGAGCGAAATTGGGCGAAATTGGGCGAAATCGGGCTGATTTCTGCCAACGCACTACAGGCTGGGCTGCACGCACGGCCGTGCGTTCCCAGTGCGTACCTCCGTGCGTTGGTGGCAGTAGCACCCTGGAGGAAATCGCTTCACGCACGCCGTGCGTTGCCCGTGCGTACCTCCGTGCGTTGGTGGCAGTAGCACCCCGGAGGAAAATCGCTTCACGCACGCCGTGCGTTGCCCGTGCGTCCCCCCGTGCGTTGGGGGCAGTAGCCTCCATTGGGAAGGCAAGGTACGCACGACCGTGCGTACCCCCTACGCACGCCGTGCGTGGACCCCCGGCACCCGAAACTTGATTTTTTCGCCCCGTTCTTCTACGTTTGGACCCCCGTTTGATTCCAAACATTAGTATGAACCTAATAACCTCCTAAAGATGTGTAAAAACATTAGAAAAGGTATCTTACATGGTGTATAAATGTAGGAACATTAAAGATCAATGGTAGGTGTGCGAGGATCCTCATCGATACCGGGGCACAACGCTCATTTGTGAGTGAGGCGTTCGCCGAGGGCCTTGACGTGCCATTGACGCCTATGACGCAAGCATTGCTAGTCTCCACACCGTTGGGAGACGACGTGGAGAGAAATCATTACTATCCATCATGTGAGGTGGAGGTGACGGGTCAACCTTTGACTTGTGATTTTGTACCTCTAAGCATGTTGGAGTTCGATGCAATCCTAGGAATGGATTGGCTCGAGAAACACCATGCTCGAGTAGATTGCTACACCAAGGTGTTGGAGCTCGAGGATGATCAAGGAAACACGCTATGTTTCGAGGGAGATCGGGGGAAATCTAATGCTTGTATCATATCCGTGATGAGAGCACGGAAGATGATGAGGAAGGGATGCCACACATACCTTGCCTACGTGGTGGACGATACCAAGAAGGAAGTCGACATCAAAGATGTACGGGTCGTATGCAAATATCCGGATGTCTTTCCCAAAGACCTACCGGGGCTTCCACCCGATAGAGAGATAGAGTTTGTAATTGAAGTGGAGCCGGGAACCAAACCCATTTCGATTCCTCCTTATCGAATGGCGCCGGCCGAACTCCAAGAGTTGAAGGTCCAACTACAAGAATTATTGGACAACGGGTTCATCAGACCCAGTCATTCACCGTGGGGAGCACCCGTACTCTTCGTAAAGAAGAAAGATGGTACGCTAAGAATGTGTGTCGACTACCGACAGTTGAACAAGGTCACAATCAAGAACAAGTATCCTTTACCTAGGATTGATGACTTGTTTGATCAACTTCGAGGGGCCATAGTATTCTCTAAGATTGACTTGAGGTCGGGGTATCATCAGTTGAAGATCAAGGAGAGTGACATACCTAAGAGTGCATTTCGCACTAGATATGGTCACTACGAGTTTCTTGTGATGTCATTTGGTTTAACCAATGCACCGGCAGCATTCATGGACTTGATGAACCGTGTGTTTAGTGAATACTTAGATCAATTTGTGATAGTATTCATTGATGATATCTTAATATACTCCAAGAGCGAGGAGGAGCACGAACATCATTTGGGGCTTATACTTGATCGGCTAAGGGAAAAGCAACTCTTTGCCAAGTTCTCTAAATGCGAATTTTGGCTCAAGGAGATTGGTTTCCTCGGTCATGTCATATCCGGTTTGGGCGTTGCTGTGGATAACGCCAAGATAAAAGCTATCATGGATTGGGAGAGACCCAAGAATGTGAAAGAGATACGTAGTTTCCTTGGCCTAGCGGGATACTATCGTAAATTTGTTGAGAAATTCTCCGTATTGGCGTCCCCATTAACGAAGCTCACAAAGAAAGGGGCCAAGTTTATATGGGACGACAAGTGTGAGAAAGGGTTCCTTGAACTGAAGAAACGACTTACCGAAGCACCAGTCCTAGCCCTACCCATACAGGGGATAGGGTATGATATCTACAGTGATGCTAGCATCCAAGGGCTTGGATGTGTACTGATGCAAAACGGTAAAGTGATTGCCTATGCTTCAAGGCAATTAAGAAAGCACGAGGTGAACTACCCTACCCATGATCTAGAATTAGGGGCGGTAGTGTTTGCACTGAAAATCTGGAGGCATTATCTCTACGGGGAGACATGTCACATTTTTACAGACCATAAGAGCTTGAAGTACGTATTCACTCAGAAAGAGTTGAATATGAGGCAGAGGAGATGGATGGAGTTGATCAAGGACTATGACTTGATCATCGACTATCATCCCGGAAAGGCCAATGTCGTGGCCGACGCACTGAGCAGGAAGAATACGACAGGGACGCTACTCACATGTCTACAGGCATTGAGGGCACGCATGGAGGTGTCCACGTGTGGGGCTCTCATTGCTCGATTCGAGGTTAGGCCCACCCTATTGGGCGAGATTAGTCGAAGTCAGGCCATGGATGAGGAATGTCAGAAGATCCGTGAAAGGATCCTTGCGGGGCCCGTTGAGAACTTCCGAGTACGTGATGACGGTCTATTATTGTTTAAGGATCGTGTATGCATACCAAAGAATGAGGAACTCCAGAAGTCTATACTTGAGGAGGCTCATTCTTCAGCTTATGTTATGCATCCAGGAGGTACTAAGATGTACCAAGATTTGAAGGAAAGTTACTGGTGGTCAGGTATGAAGAGAGACATCGCAGAGTATGTGAGTCGATGCCTTACTTGCCAGCGAGTTAAGGCAGAACATCAGCACCCGGCAGGGCTTTTGCAACCACTCACCATCCCAGAGTGGAAGTGGGAGCACGTGACCATGGACTTCGTGGTGGGGCTACCACGAACAGTGAACAACTATGACGCAGTATGGGTAGTGGTTGATAGGCTCACCAAGAGTGCACACTTTCTGCCTATCAACATTACTTATCCTCTTGAAAGATTGGCCAAGCTCTACACAGAGGAGATTGTGAGATTACATGGAGTCCCAATATCCATTGTCTCGGATAGGGATCCACGATTCACATCCCGATTTTGGCCAAAGTTTCAAGCATCGTTGGGTACTAAACTGAAGTTTAGCACAGCTTTTCACCCACAGACGGATGGACAGTCTGAACGGGTGATACAGATTTTGGAAGACATGCTTAGGGCATGTGCGCTGGAGTTCCAAGGAAGTTGGGACAAGCATTTGGCCCTAGTGGAGTTTGCTTATAACAACAGTTATCAAGCAAGTATCGGCATGCCTCCGTATGAGGCATTGTATGGGAGGAAATGCAGAACACCGTTGTGTTGGGACGAGGTTGGCGAGGCCAAACTCGAAGGGATAGAGCTGGTTGAGATCACCAAGGCCAAGGTGAGGATCATTCGGGATAGACTGAAGGCCGCTCAGGACCGACAAAAGAGTTATGCTGATAAACGGCGGAGACCGTTGGAGTTCGAAGTCGGTGATGAGGTCTTCCTAAGGATTTCTCCTTGGAAGGGCATCATCCGATTCGTATCGAGGGGGAAGCTTAACCCCCGATACATAGGTCCGTTTGAGATCTTTGAAAGGATCGGGGCCGTGGCTTACCGTCTCAAGTTGACGCCTGAACTTGAGAAGATACATGACGTGTTTCATGTATCAATGCTCAAGAAGTACATACGAGACCCATTTCATATTCTTGAGAAACCACCGGTAGAGATCCGTGAGGACTTGCAATATGCGGTGGAACCAGTGAAGATTGTTGGTCAACAAGTGAAGAAGCTTAGGAATAAGGAGATTCCTATGGTAAAGGTTCTTTGGAGTAGTGATCGAGTCGAAGAAGAAACATGGGAGACCGAGGTCTCAATGAGGGAGCAATACCCATTTCTTTTCGATTAGATACTTGGATTTCGGGGACGAAATCCCAAATAAGGGGGGGGTGAACTTGTAACACCGTCCCCAAATATATTTACCTTTATGTAAATAATGTATTGAACCTTATTAAAGGATCAATGAATTTACGAAGTTGTAAATTTTTATTAATTCTTTCGCGTGAATAGTAAATTGCACGTGGGGCCCACACCGGGAGCGGGGGCCGCTCGACATTCCCGAGACCACATATTTTATCCGTCTTGGTCTAGATAATAAATATATAGTGGTGGATATTTCATCTGGGCCATAGAAAGGCCCGGAGTCGACTGATTGGTCAAAAGAAGCCCAAATTACCGGTACTGGTAATTCAACAGATAACAGCCCGAACTGAATTTCGGAGGCTTATAAATTAAAGTTGGGAAATGTATATTCATTATACATGTCATAATGAGTAAGATCTCATGAGATATTTTATTTGACCCGATAAAATAAAATATATTTAAAACAGTCCGAAAAATACAACTTTCGGGACCGAATGTACATTTCGGGACAAGTTGGGATGACCTCCCACATGAGTGGGGGACACCCCACGTTTTTTTTGTGCTAGAATAGACAAGGGGAGCTGGTTTTGACAAAGGAAGGTGTGGAGGAGGAGGCTTTGGCATCAAAGTACATAGATGACCCCTCACCCATCACACATTTTGTCATTTGAGACAAAATAAACCACTCCCTCTCACCTCAATCATCCAACTCGTCCAGCCCTATTATTTGGAGAAGAAGAACTCTCAAAATACTCTTTCTCCATAGCTGAACTCGAGCTCAAGGAAGGAGGTCCAAAGAGAAGTGTTTGAAGAAGGAAAAAGGGCTAGAAAAAGGGTGAAAATTAAGGTAATGACCTTATTATAACTTTTCCTTTATTTTTCTTCTACCATATAAGATATATATCATGTGAAGGATCCTTAAGAGGGTTCTACATGTTATAAGTATAGATTTATGGGTTGGAGAGTGATTCTATGTCCAAGAACGGACTTAGAAGCCAAAACGACCGGTTCACCGGAAAATAACCTTTTATAGGTTATTTGTATTGATTAAGGTTTTATGATGTTAAAACCTTGTTAGGCACTTGTAAAGGGTATTTCAAGTGATTTCACAAAGTTGGAAAAGTCGCCGGAATTGTCGCCGGAGTTGACCAAAAGTCGCCGGAGTTTCACCGGAGTTCAACCAAGAAGGGTAGAACTTCATAACGCTAGTTCAAGGTGAGTGGACGGCTTAATATCTTATAACTTTTGGGTCAATTATGAGATTACCTAAATAAATGTTATATGTGTGCATAATGATGTTTAAAAGATATTTAAACATGTGATTAGCCAACATAGTTAAGTGCGTATGAAAAGAAATAATTGTTTATGCATGAAATATGATATGAGAAATTATATATAATGCATATTTGCTTTAAGTGTAAAAGAAGCACAAATGGATTTTATTAACTTAATTATATGATGATTTAGTTAATAAGTGTAAGACTTGAGATGGCGGTCAACAACAACGTTGACCGACGGATAGTGGATTAATTAATATCGATTGGTATTAATTAATTATACATTTATATAAATGCATGACTTTGCATGGAATGTGATACATAAGTTTTTATGTATTGAATTAGTTATGGATGACTAAATATGATATAGACCCTATCTAGCGTGATAAGTGGTAAGTCATAGGTCGGGTGGAGTACCCAAGGATCGGGCGGTTATCCTCAAAACTCGGTTATATAGGGTGGAGTACCCAAGGATCGGGCGGTTATCCTCAAAACTCGGTTATATAGGGTGGAGTACCCAAGGATCGGGCGGTTATCCTCAAAACTCGGTTATATAGGGTGGAGTACCCAAGGATCGGGCGGTTATCCTCAAAACTCAATTATAGGGTGGAGTACACGCTCTATTTTCTTTTCGATTAGATACTTGGATTTCGGGGACGAAATCCCAAATAAGGGGGGGTGAACTTGTAACACCGTCCCCAAATATATTTACCTTTATGTAAATAATGTATTGAACCTTATTAAAGGATCAATGAATTTACGAAGTTGTAAATTTTTATTAATTCTTTCGCGTGAATAGTAAATTGCACGTGGGGCCCACACCGGGAGCGGGGGCCGCTCGACATTCCCGAGACCACATATTTTATCCGTCTTGGTCTAGATAATAAATATATAGTGGTGGATATTTCATCTGGGCCATAGAAAGGCCCGGAGTCGACTGATTGGTCAAAAGAAGCCCAAATTACCGGTACTGGTAATTCAACAGATAACAGCCCGAACTGAATTTCGGAGGCTTATAAATTAAAGTTGGGAAATGTATATTCATTATACATGTCATAATGAGTAAGATCTCATGAGATATTTTATTTGACCCGATAAAATAAAATATATTTAAAACAGTCCGAAAAATACAACTTTCGGGACCGAATGTACATTTCGGGACAAGTTGGGATGACCTCCCACATGAGTGGGGGACACCCCACGTTTTTTTTGTGCTAGAATAGACAAGGGGAGCTGGTTTTGACAAAGGAAGGTGTGGAGGAGGAGGCTTTGGCATCAAAGTACATAGATGACCCCTCACCCATCACACATTTTGTCATTTGAGACAAAATAAACCACTCCCTCTCACCTCAATCATCCAACTCGTCCAGCCCTATTATTTGGAGAAGAAGAACTCTCAAAATACTCTTTCTCCATAGCTGAACTCGAGCTCAAGGAAGGAGGTCCAAAGAGAAGTGTTTGAAGAAGGAAAAAGGGCTAGAAAAAGGGTGAAAATTAAGGTAATGACCTTATTATAACTTTTCCTTTATTTTTCTTCTACCATATAAGATATATATCATGTGAAGGATCCTTAAGAGGGTTCTACATGTTATAAGTATAGATTTATGGGTTGGAGAGTGATTCTATGTCCAAGAACGGACTTAGAAGCCAAAACGACCGGTTCACCGGAAAATAACCTTTTATAGGTTATTTGTATTGATTAAGGTTTTATGATGTTAAAACCTTGTTAGGCACTTGTAAAGGGTATTTCAAGTGATTTCACAAAGTTGGAAAAGTCGCCGGAATTGTCGCCGGAGTTGACCAAAAGTCGCCGGAGTTTCACCGGAGTTCAACCAAGAAGGGTAGAACTTCATAACGCTAGTTCAAGGTGAGTGGACGGCTTAATATCTTATAACTTTTGGGTCAATTATGAGATTACCTAAATAAATGTTATATGTGTGCATAATGATGTTTAAAAGATATTTAAACATGTGATTAGCCAACATAGTTAAGTGCGTATGAAAAGAAATAATTGTTTATGCATGAAATATGATATGAGAAATTATATATAATGCATATTTGCTTTAAGTGTAAAAGAAGCACAAATGGATTTTATTAACTTAATTATATGATGATTTAGTTAATAAGTGTAAGACTTGAGATGGCGGTCAACAACAACGTTGACCGACGGATAGTGGATTAATTAATATCGATTGGTATTAATTAATTATACATTTATATAAATGCATGACTTTGCATGGAATGTGATACATAAGTTTTTATGTATTGAATTAGTTATGGATGACTAAATATGATATAGACCCTATCTAGCGTGATAAGTGGTAAGTCATAGGTCGGGTGGAGTACCCAAGGATCGGGCGGTTATCCTCAAAACTCGGTTATATAGGGTGGAGTACCCAAGGATCGGGCGGTTATCCTCAAAACTCGGTTATATAGGGTGGAGTACCCAAGGATCGGGCGGTTATCCTCAAAACTCGGTTATATAGGGTGGAGTACCCAAGGATCGGGCGGTTATCCTCAAAACTCAATTATAGGGTGGAGTACACGCTCTATTTTCTTTTCGATTAGATACTTGGATTTCGGGGACGAAATCCCAAATAAGGGGGGGGTGAACTTGTAACACCGTCCCCAAATATATTTACCTTTATGTAAATAATGTATTGAACCTTATTAAAGGATCAATGAATTTACGAAGTTGTAAATTTTTATTAATTCTTTCGCGTGAATAGTAAATTGCACGTGGGGCCCACACCGGGAGCGGGGGCCGCTCGACATTCCCGAGACCACATATTTTATCCGTCTTGGTCTAGATAATAAATATATAGTGGTGGATATTTCATCTGGGCCATAGAAAGGCCCGGAGTCGACTGATTGGTCAAAAGAAGCCCAAATTACCGGTACTGGTAATTCAACAGATAACAGCCCGAACTGAATTTCGGAGGCTTATAAATTAAAGTTGGGAAATGTATATTCATTATACATGTCATAATGAGTAAGATCTCATGAGATATTTTATTTGACCCGATAAAATAAAATATATTTAAAACAGTCCGAAAAATACAACTTTCGGGACCGAATGTACATTTCGGGACAAGTTGGGATGACCTCCCACATGAGTGGGGGACACCCCACGTTTTTTTTGTGCTAGAATAGACAAGGGGAGCTGGTTTTGACAAAGGAAGGTGTGGAGGAGGAGGCTTTGGCATCAAAGTACATAGATGACCCCTCACCCATCACACATTTTGTCATTTGAGACAAAATAAACCACTCCCTCTCACCTCAATCATCCAACTCGTCCAGCCCTATTATTTGGAGAAGAAGAACTCTCAAAATACTCTTTCTCCATAGCTGAACTCGAGCTCAAGGAAGGAGGTCCAAAGAGAAGTGTTTGAAGAAGGAAAAAGGGCTAGAAAAAGGGTGAAAATTAAGGTAATGACCTTATTATAACTTTTCCTTTATTTTTCTTCTACCATATAAGATATATATCATGTGAAGGATCCTTAAGAGGGTTCTACATGTTATAAGTATAGATTTATGGGTTGGAGAGTGATTCTATGTCCAAGAACGGACTTAGAAGCCAAAACGACCGGTTCACCGGAAAATAACCTTTTATAGGTTATTTGTATTGATTAAGGTTTTATGATGTTAAAACCTTGTTAGGCACTTGTAAAGGGTATTTCAAGTGATTTCACAAAGTTGGAAAAGTCGCCGGAATTGTCGCCGGAGTTGACCAAAAGTCGCCGGAGTTTCACCGGAGTTCAACCAAGAAGGGTAGAACTTCATAACGCTAGTTCAAGGTGAGTGGACGGCTTAATATCTTATAACTTTTGGGTCAATTATGAGATTACCTAAATAAATGTTATATGTGTGCATAATGATGTTTAAAAGATATTTAAACATGTGATTAGCCAACATAGTTAAGTGCGTATGAAAAGAAATAATTGTTTATGCATGAAATATGATATGAGAAATTATATATAATGCATATTTGCTTTAAGTGTAAAAGAAGCACAAATGGATTTTATTAACTTAATTATATGATGATTTAGTTAATAAGTGTAAGACTTGAGATGGCGGTCAACAACAACGTTGACCGACGGATAGTGGATTAATTAATATCGATTGGTATTAATTAATTATACATTTATATAAATGCATGGCTTTGCATGGAATGTGATACATAAGTTTTTATGTATTGAATTAGTTATGGATGACTAAATATGATATAGACCCTATCTAGCGTGATAAGTGGTAAGTCATAGGTCGGGTGGAGTACCCAAGGATCGGGCGGTTATCCTCAAAACTCGGTTATATAGGGTGGAGTACCCAAGGATCGGGCGGTTATCCTCAAAACTCGGTTATATAGGGTGGAGTACCCAAGGATCGGGCGGTTATCCTCAAAACTCGGTTATATAGGGTGGAGTACCCAAGGATCGGGCGGTTATCCTCAAAACTCAATTATAGGGAGGAGTACCCAAGGATCGGGCGTGTATCCTCAAAACTCATAGATTACATTTAATGATCTAGGACCGGGCGGTGTCCTTATGATAATTTATTTGAACAAGGAGGAGTTCTATACACTCATAGGTATATGGGTGGGTTGGGATTTAAGTCAAGGATATTGGCTACTATTATTTTCCCAAATAAACAATGACCTACGGGTCGGGTATTTCCAAGTGTATGTATACTAATATGTATTTCAAACTTGGGGGGAAGGACTATACGTATATGTATCACCCTATGTTTGGGTCTTATACTTGAAACGCTAGTTATTCTATATTTAGCCTGCTACTCGCTCGGTACTTGTACTGACCCCTTCGGGGGGCCCCACCATTTTCAGGTTGAAGCTAGGGCTTGCTACTTGCACCTTCTCACGGGTGGTATCATATCGGGAAGACGTGGTTCGTGCTTCCTTATTTTCTTTCAAACTACCGAACACTTGCTCATGGATATTTGTTTTACTATAAACTATTTTTGGGGCTTGCATGCCCATGTTGTTGGCCGGTTGTGGCTCATGACTTACCGTTGAATATTTCCGCTATTCATTGGTTTAAATGTGATGTTGTTATATATGTTTACTACTGAGTATGGATGGATTGTTTTCTAGGACGCCTTGTGTAATTAAGTGAGGTTGACTCGTGGGTGACGTCACTTGATTATACGGCGGTTGTACACGCGCTTGGATTGCGGTCTGGGGCGTGACATAGGACCATATGAGTCCTATTTGGAAACATGATTATATTATCCTTTGAGCTTTCTACTCTTTATCAAATTCTAATGTCTTCTTTCATGTGCCATTCATTGCTTTATCACTGCCAGTAATATCTTGAAACATGTGGTTTGTATTATACATGTCTTGTTTCATGTGGCTTTCATTTTTTTATTTCCATAAACTTGTCAGTTTGCTTTAGTATATCTGGCATTTTTTAATTCTGTTTGTTTCTCTTTTGCTCCTTAGTTGTCGATATGGATTCCGTTGTTCTGCTTATGGTGAAAGTTGATGGTACTTGGGACAATGCCTATAACTTCAATTGCAATGCCACGTTTGCTATGCAAGTCCTTTTATCCGCTAACTACACACCTTTCATTGAACAATTATCTTCCATATTTTCTCCTTACAAATCAAATAAACCCTTCAAACTATCTTACATTGTTGATGGTTGTCCTCCACCTGTTTTTATCCATGATGAGGAAACGTTTCGTTTTTACCTTTATCTTAAGTCTCTTCAAACTGATTTTCAGAAATCTCCTATGTGTGTGGAATTCTTGGTTGATCAACCTGTTGCAGAACCTGTTGTATCTGATCCCACAAATTCTATTGCACAAACTGTTGTAGCTGAAATTCCATGTTCATCAAACAAATTTTCTAGTCCTATTCATTCTTCCTTCAACAGTATTGAAGAACATCACATGCAAGCTAACAATGAGGTCAATGTTACAGACACTTCCCAAAGTCATATGACCAATACAGATGTGCTGTCTTGTAGTCCTACCCCAGAAGTTAGCTCTAGTCCATCACCTTCTCGTTCACTTTGTAATGACACGTTTTCTGTTCATCATAATCTGGATGTCATTACTCACTATCACCCCACTCAGATTGCATTGCATGCTATTTACCAATCTAAAGCAGCCCTTATTCACCATTTGAAGTTGTTCGCAATAGATAATGTGTTCCAGTACAGGACACTAACATCAAAGAAGATATGTTTACGTGTTATCTGTCGTGATAAAAAATGCAAATGGGCTGTGAGGGCTGTAAGACTAGATGGTGTCCAAATGTTTCAGATACGAAGGTATTCCTCCATTACTGTAACTTTAGTTAATAACCATTCTGTCCTGGTCTTTTATTCCATTATGTTGGCATATTTTCCACATTCTTTTCAAATTAACATTTTTAATACTTTTTCCTTACAGATTTAAATCAAAACATACATGCTCTATTGATTTTCGTCAAGGCAAACATCGCCAAGCAACCTACCGCACTGTTGGAGAGCTTATATCGCATAAATTTTTGGATGCATCGAGAGAACCTTATAAGCCAAATGAAATAAGAGAAGACATGCTCCTGAATCATGGTATTTCCATTTCTTACACGCAGGCATGGAAAGCTCAGAAAATAGGTATGCAGAAACAGTTTGGCTCAGATTCTGAATCATACCAAATGCTACCGTCTTTGGCGTATGCTCTTGAAAAGGCAAATCCGAATTCTCTATTTTCTCTTGAAACTTCAGAAGATGATACCTTTCGTTATTTTTTCATGTCCCTCTTACCTTGGAGGGAGGCGTGGAAGTATTGCAGACCAGTTCTAATTGCAGACGGGTCATTTTTGAAGGCGTACTACAAGGGTACCCTTCTCACAGCTTGTGCTCAAGACGCAAATGACCAAATTGTCCCACTAGCATTTGGTATATGTGATTCAGAGTCTAAAGAGTCTTGGCTATGGTTTTTTTCAAAAGTTCGTGAAGCATTAACGTTCCACGAGGACATGTACATTGTATCGGATAGACATAAGGGCTTGCTTAGTGCAGCAAAAAAGATTTTTCCACATGCTGGTCATGGATATTGTGTTGAGCATTTGCGTCGTAACATGATTTCTAAATTCAAGGGCTCCGCGGTTGATTTAGGTTGGAAGTTCAAAGCGGCTTATATGGCTTCAACTGTGAAGGAGTATGAAGAGTACATGACATTGTTGGATTATGAAGATATCCGTATACGACCTTGGCTAGATAATTGGCAGTCATAAATGGGCAAAGTGCATGTGTGGTCCTCGTAGGTACAATATAATGACATCAAATTCTGCGGAGTTGATATGCACTAATTAGTAGTGCATAAATGTATATTTTTATGTTTGATTTGTGTGGATTGTTTACCATTTTATTTAGTTTGTAAACATTTGTGTGATTATAGTTGTAATTGTATTTTAGTTCTCATTTGTAAGTTGTAAAGTAGAGTTAGGATTTATGGTGTTGGAAAGGAAGACTTTGAAGTGAAGATTATTGGCTGCCCAGGACAGTCACCCGGTCGGGTGAGGTATTGCACCCGGTCGGGTGAGACTTGAAATACGAAACTGCTCAGGAAATTACATCACCCGGTCGGGTGAGGTATTTCACCCGGTCGGGTCAGATTTGACCCGGGACAAAACGACGTGCTGAAACACAAGAACGTGGAAGATTATTTGATTTTGACATGCACCCGGTCGGGTGGGCACTTTACTCGGTCGGGTACCCGGCCCAAGGTGTTGAAAAACACCTATAAATAGCACACTTTTCCTTCACAAATAATCACTCCTTCTTCCATACTCTTAAGCTCAGTTTAGAATAGTATTTCTTTTATATTTTTATAGCATGTTTAGTCTCCAAATGAGGAGCTAAACTTCCATTTCTTGGTGTTACTCTTGAAGCTTATTGATTATTAAAGTTGTGAGTTATTTTCTTGACTTCTTCCCTTGAATATTAATTATTCTCTTAATCTATCTATATATTAATGTTGGGGAGTGTTGCTAAGGTGACAATTAGTTAACATCTCGACATTAGTTATAGTAGTATTTATTTTCTTCCTCTATATATTAATGTTGGGGAGTGTTGCTAAGATGACAATTAGATAACATCTTGACATTAGTTATAGTAGGATTATTCATATTTAATCTTCTTCCTTGAATATTAATTCTCCCCTTAATCTATCTCTATGTTAATGTTGGGGAGTGTTGCTAAGATGACAATGAGTTAACATCTCAATATTAATTACTACTAGAAACGTTCAACGAACCGATGGTTAATCGTTGATGGTTTCACAAGTAAGTAACTTCAGTTTATTAATGCACGGTCGTGGTTAATAAACTTAAGAGGGATTAATTTTGTTGGTTAAATCGAAACCGTTGTGTTGAGGTTATCAATCTCAATTGATTTCATCAAGGAGTTAAGAGATTAAATGCTACTATCAAGTCTGTATATGACGGTGTTCTATACTTGACTAATAGTAAGGGTTATTAATGAACGGTTGTTGTTAATAACTACCCTCGATGAATTGGATATACTCCTCGATTGAGTATTCGAGAGGGGATAAGTTATAGCTATAACAATGATCGACTAAAATATATCAACAAGTGGAAAGTAGCAATGCCAAGTCCTTTTTATCTTTGAATTAAATCACATATAAGTTGTTCATCTTTGTGTTTAATTAAATTAAATCATTCAATCCTAACCCCCCCCCCTTTTATTTACTAGTTTTATAAAAAGAGAATTATTCCTTTCCTTGTGGATACGAACTCTACTACACTATACTACATATAAGTGTTAGTATTGAATTTATTTTGACGCACCGTGACAAAGTGCACGTCAAATTTGGCGCCGTTGCCGGGGAAAGGCAATTATTTTTCTTTTTATTTTATCTCATAAAAATCATAAAAAAAGACAAAAAAAAAACTTACGCTTCTATTTTCTGAGCTTACATGAGTTATGATATGAGTGTATGGATACCAACATTTCATCCTTAGAGAGTCAAATTTCCTTCTTGACTTCTCTAATAAATGAGTTTATCTTAAGCTCAAAAGCTCAAGATGCCAAGACATGCAACATTTGCATGTCTCATAGGCATCTAAAGGATTTCTGCCCAAAGCTCCAAGATGAATACCTTGAACAAATTGATGAGGTTGGTTACGAAAGGGATGTACCTCACATCAGGTATGATCCGTTCTCCAACTCTAACATGTCTACGGAGGATATGGTCTGGGCTATTGCTAACAACATGACCACCATGCAAAACAACATGGTGCAATTCCAAAATGAGACCAAGTCTAGCATTTTAAACTTGGAAACTCAAATGAGTCAAATAGCCGGAGCCGTGAGTAGGCTTGAAGTAAGGGATTCAGAAAAACTTCCCTCTCAAATAGAATGTGATCCTAAACAACAAACTTTTGCAATCACATTGACAACTGAGAAGGAAATGCAAAAGGAGATCCAAAATCCAGAAGAAGTAGAAGAAGAAAGAGACACGGAGCCCCATCTAGTCAAAGAAGAGGATGAACCGAGTTTCAAGGTCAAATATCTATCCTTGTCATCCTTTGAGGTACCCCCATCAATTCTAAAATTTTTGAGGTAAACTCATAAAATTGACAAGGATAATGACATTTTTGAAATCTTCAGCAAAATTGAGGGATCAAAACATCTTCCGTTGACCATGTTTAACGATAATTTCTTTCCCTCACTCCCTCCACATGAATCAATGAAAATCTGGATATTTGATCCTGGAAAGATTTCCAAAGTGAAGAGTCGGAAAATTGAGCATTCCTATGAAAATCTTAGGAGTGGAAATGTGAAGAAGGTGAATTATCATGATCCAAGCTTGAACGATTGAACACAATGATGGCGTCGTGCCACGACGATAAATAAGGCGCTTCTTGGGAGACAACTCATGTAAGGTACATTTACTTTTTATTCTAGTTTAAGTTTACACTTCTTAAAAAAAAACTGGGGTGTTGACCCAGCCGGGTATCACATTTCACCCGGTCGGATACCATCTTAAAATCCACACCCGCCACACACCCGGGCGGGCCAGGCCAAAAATACAAGAAAAATGAATCCAACTGACCGGGGTAACTTCAATCCACCCGGCCGGGCGTTTTTACAAAAAAAAAAACTCTCTGGATAGTTGGGATTTAGGCCCGACCGGGTCCATTACTCCACCCGGTCGGGGCGAACAGGTAAATGCCCGGTAAGGGGCGTACAGACCACCTTCTTCCTCACTTCCTCTTCCCCGAAATCCCAAACTCCTACTCTTTTTCCACCATTTTCGAACTCAAAAGCTCCAAATCCGACGATTTTCTCCACCAAATCAACCAAATAAACCCTTTTTCTTCATTTCCTCATCACCCTCTTCACTCCTACACCCACAAAAACCTCCCAAACAACCAAGTATCCAAACCCCCTCACTCCAAAAACAACAAAAGCTGAAATTTCCTCACCCAAAAAGAAAGAAATGACACCAAAAAGGGCAAAGAGATTCATTCTCTTGGACATCTCGGAGACAAGCACTAAGGACAATGCTTTGATTAGCTTGGGGGAGAATTTCATGGAAAACTCACATTCATACTCTATATTCTTGTATTATTTTTTTTTTTAAAAAGCTTGTTAAGTTGAAAACCTGAAAAGGCAACTTAAGCAAAAATAAAGCAAAAATAAGAGTGAGTTGTGAGGATTAAAACAGAAAAATGTGGGAAGCTGGGATGAAAACCCGAAAGGGCACCTAGGCAAAATGAGAGAATGAGAGAAAGGATTTTCTTTTATTTCTGCAGGATCCTACGGGTAACTAAAAAAAAATTGAGGTTGATGAGAAATATGGTGTTGAAGACCCCTCTTTACTCTTATATTTTTGGGGATAATTTTTGTGTGGTCCTAAAAACAATTTTGGATGTTTGTGTGGATACTCTTGCTACTTTAGGGACTTCTTAGACTAGGTTTGGTTTACTCGAGACGAGTAAAGGTTCAAGTGTGGGGGTGTTTGATATGCACTAATTAGTAGTGGATAAATGTATATTTTTATGTTTGATTTGTGTGGATTGTTTACCATTTTATTTAGTTTGTAAACATTTGTGTGATTATAGTTGTAATTGTATTTTAGTTCTCATTTGTAAGTTGTAAATTAGAGTTAGGATTTATGGTGTTGGAAAGGAAGACTTTGAAGTGAAGATTATTGGCTGCCCAGGACAGTCACCCGGTCGGGTGAGGTATTGCACCCGGTCGGGTGAGACTTGAAATACGAAACTGCTCAGGAAATTACATCACCCGGTCGGGTGAGGTATTTCACCCGGTCGGGTCAGATTTGACCCGGGACAAAACGACGTGCTGAAACACAAGAACGTGGAAGATTATTTGATTTTGACATGCACCCGGTCGGGTGGGAACTTTACCCGGTCGGGTACCCGGCCCAAGGTGTTGAAAAACACCTATAAATAGCACACTTTTCCTTCACAAATAATCACTCCTTCTTCCATACTCTTAAGCTCAGTTTAGAATAGTATTTCTTTTATATTTTTATAGCATGTTTAGTCTCCAAATGAGGAGCTAAACTTCCATTTCTTGGTGTTACTCTTGAAGCTTATTGATTATTAAAGTTGTGAGTTATTTTCTTGTCTTCTTCCCTTGAATATTAATTATTCTCTTAATCTATCTATATATTAATGTTGGGGAGTGTTGCTAAGGTGACAATTAGTTAACATCTCGACATTAGTTATAGTAGTATTTATTTTCTTCCTCTATATATTAATGTTGGGGAGTGTTGCTAAGATGACAATTAGATAACATCTTGACATTAGTTATAGTAGGATTATTCATATTTAATCTTCTTCCTTGAATATTAATTCTCCCCTTAATCTATCTCTATGTTAATGTTGGGGAGTGTTGCTAAGATGACAATGAGTTAACATCTCAACATTAATTACTACTAGAAACGTTCAACGAACCGATGGTTAATCGTTGATGGTTTCACAAGTAAGTAACTTCAGTTTATTAATGCACGGTCGTGGTTAATAAACTTAAGAGGGATTAATTTTGTTGGTTAAATCGAAACCGTTGTGTTGAGGTTATCAATCTCAATTGATTTCATCAAGGAGTTAAGAGATTAAATGCTACTATCAAGTCTGTATATGACGGTGTTCTATACTTGACTAATAGTAAGGGTTATTAATGAACGGTTGTTGTTAATAACTACCCTCGATGAATTGGATATACTCCTCGATTGAGTATTCGAGAGGGGATAAGTTATAGATATAACAATGATCGACTAAAATATATCAACAAGTGGAAAGTAGCAATGTCAAGTCCTTTTTATCTTTGAATTAAATCACATATAAGTTGTTAATCTTTGTGTTTAATTAAATTAAATCATTCAATCTTAAACCCCCCCTTTTATTTACTAGTTTTATAAAAAGAGAATTATTCCTTTCCTTGTGGATACGAACTCTACTACACTATACTACGTATAAGTGTTAGTATTGAATTTATTTTGACGCACCGTGACAAAGTGCATGTCAGGAGTCAATGAACAATGTAGATGTTTCAGCAAGGGAGTATTTTGTCGCTAAGCTCATTGACTTCTTGAGAGTAAGAATGCAACAATGGTTCACCAAGAGAAAGGAAAAGGCTGAGAAGACAACCTCTATGTTGACAAAAAAACGTGAAAAGCAACTGGTTGCACTTCAAAGTCAAGCTAGGAAATTCACGGTTAGTTGTTTTTGCTTCTGCAAAATTTCTTTCTATTTATTTATATTAATGCCTAATATTTGGCAATTTTCCCCAAATATGGATACATTCTGCCAACATCTGCTATTTCATACACTTTTTTATACTTTTTTCATTATCCTTTTCCATTGTCAAATTACTTATTATTCTGCACTTGTTTCTTATTCCAGGTAAAGCTGTGCTCATATTTGGAATTTGAAGTGGTTGATAGACATTCCTGTTCTTTTGTTGTTGATCTCA